CCTCAGTCTAAAGTCCCTATAAAGAGGGGTTCCCTACTCAGTGTCAGCACAGTACACAGCCTGGGTTCTGAAGCTTCTGACCTTCGCAGTTTTAGCTTCTGGAAAAGCTCTCCTCAGACAAGACCATGAAGTTCTGTGTGGCCGTCCTCTCTCTCCTCATGCTAGTGGCTGCCTTCTTCTCTCCAGCCATTTCAGCAGCATCAAGTAAGTCTATCTACCCTGTCACTGTTATTTCTAGAGTCTACGTTTCTAGTTGGGGCTGGTCCAACAGTGGGACCTGAAGATGGAACAAAAGGGAGATGGAAGATTCCAAACAGCTTGCCATTAAATATAGATTCTGGTTGTTAAGTGTTGTCAAGGAGACTTATAGAGACCCTGTGTAGGTTGGGTTTCTGAGACTGTAAATCTTTGAGGGAACAGAAAGCCTCATCTTTCTCCCATGGAGTGGATGGTGGACTCCAATCGCTGATCTTATGGTTTGAAGTCCAGTGCTTATCCTACAGAGCCTCTGTGCACCCATAGGTCCTAGTAGACATCCAATAATACTCAACTTCTTGTGGTTTTGTTGTTGTTGTTTTTAAAAGAAACAATTATGAACCAATAAAGGAGGAAAAAGATGGGAGTAGAAATCAGGCTGAAGAGTTGGTTCTGTTTCTTACTACTTGGTCAAGAAATTCCTATTCTTTTCTGTGCCTTGGTTTCCCCATCTGTAAAACAAAGGTAGTTGGATATTAGCTCTAAGATTCAATTCAGCTCCAATCTTTTAGAATTCTTCCATGAACTTCTTTGCGGAGCCTCTCTTCAAATAAGACTCCCATTCAGGGTGGGTGGGACTGTATGCTGGGAACTGAGCCTATTTGGGGTTCTAGAAGTTCCACAGGAATGTTCATAAATAAGTAGCTCCCATAGAGCCATCTGATCTCACTCTATCCTTTCGTTTTAGTGGGCTCAGACCCACCTACTTTGTGCTGCTTCTCCTACACCCAGCGGAAGATTCCTCAAAATTTTGTGGTTGATTACTACGAGACCAGCAGCCTCTGCTCCCAGCCAGCTGTGGTGTGAGTATCAACCCTGGGATCCTCTGGGGTGGGCTTGGGAGACCAAGCACCAAGGAAGAAAGTCTCAGAACTGAAGCTCTGGTGTCTGAAGAATAGTAAGGAAACAGGTCATAAGGTTGCCTGTTCAGTCCCATGGGCAGTGGATGGAGCCAAGACAGACATCATTGATGGTATTCAGGTAGAGGGAGATGCCGGTTACAGGCAAAAAATAGTATCAGCTATCCTCAAAGAGTCCATGGAATTCTAATCTGTCCACTTGTTGTTCTCCAGATTCCAAACCAAAAGGGCCAGGCAAATCTGTAGCAACCCCAGTGAACCCTGGGTCCAGGAGTACATGGAATATCTGGAGCTGAACTGAGTCACCCCACACCCAAGAAGAGCAAGCCTCCAGGGAAGAACACTTGAGGCTCAGCACTTCTCAGGGACACTCCAGACTCCCCTCAGTATCCCTCTGTTCCTTCTGTTTATTTAATATCTACTCTGTGCTGTGTTACTGTATTTGGTGATGGTCTATTCTATTTATGTTGCTGACGGACGCATGTCTCCTATGGGGATGGTCCACCACTACTCTGCTATTGCAGATGCATGGGTGATGTTGTTTAATTCCATGTGTTTTCATAAAGATAAAAAATAAAACTTTCTTAAAAATGTGACCGTTTCTTTATGGTTTTAATTTTACTTGAAGTGAAAGGAATTTCCTGGTACTATATGGCAGGCACAATGGTTAAGTACAATTCCAACTCACCAGCCACTCTGTCTTGGTATGGCACTGTGAGATAAAGCACTGAACCGCATGATCAGTTTGAGCACAAGGTTGGTGGTTCAAACTCACCAGTTGCTCCTTGGAAACTCTATACAGTGTCTCTATGAGTCAGAATACACTTGACGGCACTTAATAACAACCACTCTGCAGAATAAAATATCTGGCAATCTGCTCCCGTAAAGATTGTTGTTAAGTGCAGTCAAGTCAGTTCCAACTGATAATGATCCTGTACAGCGTTTCTGAGGCTATAAATCTTTGTGGAAGAGAAAGCCTCATCTTTCACAGAATGGAAAACCATATAGGACAATTCTATGCAACCATATAAGGCCGATAGGAGTCAGAATCAACTTGATGGCTCATACCAAAAACAATATTAGTATGGATAGATTCTCTGGGTGGCATAACAGTTTGCACTTGGCTTTAGCTAAAAGGTTAGCATCCAAAGGCACCAGAGAAGAAAGGCCTGCTAATCAACTTCCATAATATTACAGCCATTGAGAACCCAATGGAGTGTAGTTCTACTCTGACACAATGGGGGCATCATGAGTCAGAATCGCCTCAGTGGCAAAGGGTTTTTGTTTGTTT